GACGTCGATCCAGTCGCGGAGTCCGAACCTTGGCTGCCTGACCCGGAGTGTCGGGGGAACGGCAGCAAGTGTGGCCGAGCACCATGGACCAACCCGTAGGAGAGCATGAGTACTGTCAAAGGATGAACCACTTGTGCAGTACCAGGAGCACGACGGTGGCTCCCTCCCAGGGGTGGACCACGTCGTCGGCGAACAACGCAGGCAGCTTATCTATCCCACACGGTGGACGGGGGGACCAAGCGGCGTGCGTGAACCGGGGGCCGTGGTGGACCAGAATGGGGAGCGTCGACAGACGAACAAAGGGTGTACCACTTGCCGTACCGCATCCACTCCAGGTCCGGCCCCCGGTGGTGCCGGGGCAGGCCGGGGCCCGAGCTGTCAGAGCAACACCAGGCGGCAGCGCGGCCCGCCCTCACCTCGGGGCTCTGCGGGAGAGCCGCCAGGTGGTGCATAGACCCAAGTGCTCCAAGAGCCTCGGTAGGGGGGAAATCGTGTGTGGCCGAATCCACAGGAGGAGGAGAGGGGGGAGGAGGAGACGCAGCCGATACCCGCAAAATCAATTGAATGAGTGGAGGAGAGGGAGGCGACGCCACAGCGAGTACAGCGAGACCCTGGACACTGTGATCGCACCGCGCGATGCGGTGGGACCTCGGTCACGGGGGGAACAGGGTGCCAGATTATGCTGGGGAACGCTGTGTCCCAGCTGCAGGGCCGCATCGTCGGGGGGGAAGCACGTGAGGTGCAAGCTGGTGGGTTTGCGCGAAGCGTCTAGAATTTCGGTCAGCCGCACCACCGAGCCCCTCGGGCGTGATGGGCGCGCTGCCTGCTCGCAGGGCTACCATGGCGGATCGCGGACACCACAGGAAAGGGAGCCAGTGGCAATGCATCGGCACGTAGCAGCATTCCATCGGGGCGCCTCGTCACGCGGGCTCGATGTCCGTTTTATCGAGCTGCCTCTCCAGCTGCCAGAGACCGTGCACACACAAGGCCTTGAATCTCATCTGCTCCATTCTCCACTGTCCCAAGGCCAAGCCGTCGACAAGCTTGCTCATCAGCGTTTTCTCCCCCCGAGGATTTGGATCGCCAACTGCCACAAGCGGATTGAAATACACGAAGAACATCACCAGCCAGGCAATGATGTACGCTTTGAGACGGCCAGACATAACAGCAACCAACACTTCGCTACTGCTGTCATGTGTCTGCGCACGCTGCCTTGTGTCGTCGTCGAGCAGGCCGCAAGCAAATGGTAGGATGAACGACATGATAACAAAAGCATGGGCGGCGAACTCGCCCATCAATCGTACCTTGGCTTTCCTGTTGGCTTCCGCTACGCTGGACTTCGACTCGTCTATTTGCCCGCAGGGCACAGTATAGAGAAAATACACTAGAAAATACCACGCCATGCCGGGCAGTGTGGCGAACATCAAGTTGAACAACTGACGGTTCACGAAACGCGCGCCGTGTGCGCCAACGACAATGTGATAAATCTTTGGGGTCGCAATTAGATAGAGCACGACGTAGCTTGAACACCAGGTGCTGAGCTCCAACATTGTCCTCTCTTTCCAATCAAGTGGATGGAACCTGTCGCACACGAAAATTCCTTGGAGTGGATGGTTGTTCGACGAGTAATAATAAAAGCCTTTCCAATAACCACGAGGAAACATATCCTCCGCCCTGCGGCAAATATAGAAATACTTCCGCAAGGGGGTCGCTGGCCTTGCAGTCAGGTCTGGATTCGCAAACTCTGGCTGGCTCAACTCCGCGTACGAGGAACTCGCGGATGCGTCCACTGATTCCCCGCTGAAGCTTCGTACCAGCGCCTTCAACATCGAGAGGTCCACCCCTCCATCATCCTCGGTCTGGCCTTCTTGAACCGCGGGCGTGAGCAGCCCCCTGCCCCAGAAACTACAGAAAGATAGATGTGCAGCCCGTGTCAGGTACTTGAAGTATTCACGCTCCACGCAATAGAAAAATGTATCGAATTCCTCCCTGCTGAAACCTCCGCTGTTGTCCGTGTCGAAGAGCCTGAACGCCTTGCGCCTAACGTCCTCGTAGAGCAGGCCGTGGAAGTGCTCGGGCATCTCCCTGATGAGATCGCCGTGGGAGGTGCAGAATGCGTGGAACTCTTCCTGCGAGACATGGCCGTCCTCTGACGTGATCCCGTCCATCAGCCCGAACAGGTCCGCCAGGGCCCTCTCGTTGGCCCTCTGGTTCAGCCAGAAGCTCCGGTGCCAGGCGCTACCGCGGTGGACCACGGCCAGCACGAGGGCGCACTCCAGACTGAAGGGTTTCTTCGCCTCGAAGAACGCCTTCGCGGAGTGGTCGCCGATACGCCCGCTCAGGCTCCTCGGAAGGAGCGACCTCCCGGTCTGGGACGCCCTCATCAGGTCGGCGATCGTGGCGTCCTCCAGGAGCGACGGGGCGATCTGCCAGCATGGTGACCGCCCCCGGACGCGATCATCTCGCGCCTTCCACTGCGTCCTCTCGGCCACGCCGTGCTTCGTCGGCGGGTTTAGGGGGACATCGCTGGCCTCCCCCCCCAAGCCCGTGGGCTCCGCCTTAGGCATGCCCACGTCGACTGCGGCCGCCATGCCGGCTGGCCGTCGGGAAGAGCCGAGGGGATGGAACCGATGCTTGAGCCAAGGGGGTTACGGAACTGGTGGGGATACGCGAAGCGTCAAGAATTAACTCCCCCCACCTTGCTGAATTAGCCCAACCTCCCCATATCCTGCAAGTGACGCTCTCCTCCAGCCCGTCCCCTTCCGGAGTTGAAGCATAATCCCCGCTGAGGTAACTCCTTCCCCTTCCTGAGTTGACTCCGCTACCCTTCTGTGGATTCCTGCGAACATCCTGCTAGGGGAAGGAGGCAACACGGGGGAGGAGGAGGAGAGCGAGGAGGGAAGACAGGAAGATGTGTATGAACAAATCTGATCTAGGAGGGGGACGGGGGCAATGGAGGAGCCCGGTGAGGACGAGGAGGACGAGGATGATGGCGATGAGGATGATGCAGGCCACGGCGTTGATGATGGGTGATGGTGGTGATGACGGTGATGGTGACGACGATGACAAGGCTGATGATGATGATGATGATGATGATGATCATGATCATGATGATGATGATGATGATGATGATGATGATGATGATGGAATGGAGGAGCCGAGTGAGGACGAGGAGGACAAGCATGAGTGCGATGAGCATACTGCGTACGGTTGTGATGATGGGTGATGGTGATGGTGATGGTGACGACGATAACGAAGGTGATGAGGAAGATGGTAGTGATGATGGTGGTGACGTGTCTGCTGGTGGCGACGATGGTGTTGGTGGTGATGAAGATGGTAGTGGTGATGATGGTGGTGACACGTGCATGAAGGTGGCAACGATGATGATGATGATGATGATGCTGATGATGATGATGATGGAATGGAGAAGCCGGGTGAGGACGAGGAGGGTTAAGGATGAGTGCGATGAGCATATTGCGTATGGTTTTGATGATGGGTGATGTTGATGGTGATGGTGACGACGATGACGAGGGTGATGTTGAATATGGTAGTGACGATGAAGGTGGTGACGTGTATGCTGGTGGCGACGATGGTAATGGTGATGATGGTGAAGATAGTAGTGATGATGGTGGTGGCGACGGTGTTGATGATTCGTGGGAATCAGCATGCGATGGAGCAGAAACGGGAGACGGAGGAGGAGGAGGAGGAGGACGGGGAGGAGGACGAGGAAGGAGTTGGAGGAACATCTTTACCCTACGCGCGCGCCCGTTGGAACTGCTGAAATCGAACAAAACTGGGCGGGGGAGGGGCGGGAAAACCTGTGAATCCGTAAACCTCTAAACTTGGGGCCGAAATGTGCACCCGGAACTGACTATTCGCAAGGCCGGGGGGAGGGGGGGGGGCGGCAGGGAAACCCGTAAATCCGTAAACCCGTAAACCTGGCGCCGAAATGTGCAACCCGAACGCACTTTTCGCCTAAACGGGGAAGCCCGAAAAGTCGAAAAGTCGTAAACTTTACGACTTTTCGACTTTTCGCATAAATAGTGCGAGCCCGCGCCCGCTTACAGCAACTCCTCCTCGCCAGCTTAGCTTGCGGGCGCTTCTTGGGGGCTTCTCGGCGCCTCCTGGGGCCACTTGGGGTCGAAAGATTGGAATTCGATGGTTGCTTTCCTCCTCTGGGGCCCTCTCGGGCCCGTCTTGGGGACTCTCTTGGGCCGTCTTGGGCCCTTCGTGGGCCGTCCTGGAGCTTTCTGGGGCTGTATTGGGGCCGTCTGGGGCGCGTCCTGGGCCGTATTGGGGCGGTCTTGGGAGCTTCTGAGGTCGTCAAGCACGGACCGACAGCGAAAACAAGCAATATGTAAAAAATATACGTTTTACGAAGGGAATGGGGCTATTTGGGCCCCTTGGGGCTCTCTTTGGGGCCCTATTGGGGGTCGCTTGTGGTGTCTTGGGGGCTTCTGAAGCCGCCTTGGAGGCCATGTTGGGCGTCTGGGAGCGACCTTCGGGCGTCCCGGGTCTGTTCTGGAGCCTCTTGGGGCCTCCTTGGCGCCTTCTGGCGGCCTTCTGTGAAGCCCCGGGGCTCCCCGAGGGCCCCGGAGCCCACATTTGCGGTAGCGGCGCCGGCCCCGGGCGCCCGGACCCGGTGCGCCGTTATACATGTATATCTATATATATAGATATATATATATATATATATATATATATATCACCCGCCAAGCTGGTTCTTGTTATGATCAATTACTCTCCTGCTTCTCCTTAACATCATTATTATCAGTCCGATTATCTGAGACAGAGTGTCGTGGTGAAGTCGGTCCAATCATGGGAATATTCGACACGCCACTCGAGGATCCGTGATTGTGAACTGCAAGCCCGCAGCGCATCTGGCCGCAGCCGCGAGTCCCTCGCTCAGATTGTGTTGGGCGTAGAGCCCAGGCAGATCATCCTGCTTCCCACCTCCCCATCCCCGTCCGCACGTCCTCCTGCTGGGTCCGACCACGCCATCAAACCCGCTGACGCATCTCGACGCCCGCTTCTGTCGCCGAGCAGAGCAATTTGGCCTTCCTGTTGACCGTTTTCTCAAAGAGGCGCAGCACAATATCACCGTCGCCAGCGTAGGTGAAGCGCTTGTCAAGGAATGCCACCTCGAATCCTTCGACAGTGTTGCATCCCTCGCTGCGGACTTTCTCGCACAGCAGCTTCACATCACACATGTCGGCGTTTGCGATGTTCCCGAAGCTGTGCGCGATGCAGAGCTCCAGGAAACACCAACCACGCGATATGTACTCCATACCTGCAGGGACGCACTCGTCCATGGGAAGCACTATGACTGGGGTGTGGCTAGCGCTGTAGAGGAGCTCCATGGAATCGATGCTGGTCTTGAAAATAGCGTCCTCCTCAGCTGTACGGACTGATGGATGGGTTCCTGGCTCGGGCCAATTCCCTTCGCGTTCTAAACGCTGCAGATATGGATCCTGCATGTTGTGTTGGGGCAGGCTCATGTAGTCGGCGAAAAGACAATCGCTGTCATCGGCCCCCATAGCGTCCAGTTGATCGCATAACATCTGCAATTTGGAGAGCTCTTTGGAGAGCCATGGATGTGAGAGAACATAGCGATGCTTCGGGTCATCCTTGCACCCCGGGAAACCAGCACTGCCGATGATTGCCTCGCTCGCTGGCACATCCTGGCATCGAGGCATTTTGCCACCAGTCGATGCGAGTTGGCGCAAATATCCGCACCGCACCCTTTTGATGCGAGCGTCGTCGAGGTACTGCAAGAACTCCAGGTGGAAATCGTTCAACTGCTCGTCTCCGTAGCAATTGATCGCAGTAAAGGCCATCAGGGCTAGGCGCCGCACCTCTGGTGGGCCGGCCAGGCCGGCGAGCACGAGCACGCTCAGGCTATCGACCACACACTCTAGAAACAGACTGGCTGACATGTGCAGGCTGCCCGAACCATGCCAAATGTGAAAACCTGGGGTGAACGTCGACACAACTGTGCTAGCTGCTGCTGCTACGGCTGTCACCATGATCCACATGCCGGCTCGCCTTTGCGCACTGCTATCAGAATGAATTGTACGCTGGGCACTGGCACAGAGGCTGCACACGCCTGCGAAAACGACTGACGATAACATCACCCACCAAGGGACGACCGCGACGATCTGCAGCAGCAACTGCACCAAGTCATTCTCGCTGATGAGTTCTGGATGAAAGGAAGCCACCAGGACTGCAGGCACCGCAGGGGCAATTCCAACAAGAATGTACATGATGATTCGCGCGATGTTCCGTCGGCCTAAATCTCTCAATTTGGATGCGATTATAAACATGCTGCTGTACTTGCATACAACCCAAGCGCTGGAAACGATTGTATACGGAAGCTTTGTCAATGCTACTGGTCCAAGGTGGCACGTGTACAACCAAGGATAAGTCACCGAGACAGTGGCGCTGAGTCCAGCACCTGCAAAGAATGCACGTGCAAATCTGTGCATCAGTAGGCTCTTCCGGAAGCGACTGCGGTAGCCCACGCCCCAAGCCACGGTCACGACGTAGGGCGAGAACGACATGCTGTGTAAAATCCAATGCATCAACAGGTTGCGCGACTCCTCGTCGTCGACGCATGCATGTCCGAAGGTGATGCTGATCGCAAACGAGAGTATGTAGGCAACGATGCCGACAAACACACACACAGACGAACACCGCAACGTCCAGCTCCTAGCTGACGCGGTATGCGAGAACAAATGGGGGGGGCAAGTTTCGGTCAAGCGGAAGGCTACCAGCCAAACCCGATGGATTGCCAACCCAGTGCGGCTGCGGTGCATCACTGGTCACCTCGCTCATGTCGTGAAGACTGCAAATGCTATCTTCTTGGAGCCTGAGCTGCTGGTGTCTTGAGCCAAAATGGCTGCGGAGCCCTCTTGGGCCGTTTCGGGGGCCTCTGGGGAGACTCTTGGGCCGTCCTAGGGCGGTTTGGGTGGCCTCTTGGACCGCCTTCAACGCCGTGAAAGCCGAAAAGCCGTGCATGCTAATAATGCATGTTTTCCAAAAGGAGCTCAATGATTTTGGCCTCCTGGTGGCCTCTTGGGACACCTCTTGGGGGCCTCTCGGGGCTTCTCGGGGGGCTCTTGGAGCCTCCTGGGAGCGTCTTGGGGGCCTGTTGGGAGCCCCTTTGTGAGCGTCTTGGGGCGAAAGGCTAGACTTTTCGGTTCGTGGTCCCCCTCTTGGGGCCGTCTTGGGGCCCTTTTGGGCCGTCTTGGCCGCCTTCTCAGCCGTCTTGGGGCCCCATCGGGCCGCTTTGGGGGCCTCTTGAGAGCCTATTGGGCCGTCTTTGGGCGGTCTTGGGGGCCTCTTGGGCCGTCTTCGACACCGTGAAGGCCGAAAAGTGGCGTATGCTCAAAATGTACGTTTTCCTTTTTTGTGTGAAAATCAATGATTTGGGCCTCTTGGGGCGCTCTTGGGACACCTCTCGGGCGCCCCCCTGGGGCGTCTTGAAGCCTCTTGGGCCGTCTTGGGGGCCGTCTGGGGCGCTCGTGGGCTCTCTTGGAGCGCTCTGGGACCCTCTTGGAGCCGTCTTGGGCGCCTCTTGTGCCGTCTTGAGCGCCCCTACCGTCCCTACCGTCGGCTTCGACCGCAGCGCCCCCTCAGGGCCTGGCAGGAGAGGCCTGCGCACCGGCTTGGACGCCCGAGATGGGTACGGACAAGATGGGTACAACGCCCAACCGCCAATGCTGCCCCAGGCCGACAGCGGCCGCTGTCGGGAGGAGCGGCCTCCTGCCTCAAGTGGACACGGGCCGCGGCGGCGCGGACGGCGAGCCCTGCTCGAAAGGAGCAGGAACTGTCGCTGGGCACTGTTCGGGGAGACGTAAGACCCGGGTACGGGGGACTCGGAAATCCCCGACGAGGTCGTCAAAAAAATGACGAGGCCGAGCCTGCATTTTGACGAGGCCTCCCGCTGCAGACATCCCACAAAACTCCTCCTCGTCAAAATCCGAGTCGCGGTCGTCAAAAAACGATGGCAAACCCGAGTCCCGGCAAACCCGGGTCTTACGCTCCCCCGACAAGACAGCCCAAGACAGTGCCCAAGAGGCCCCCGAGACGCCCCGAGCGGCCATTAACCGGAGTTGTGCCCGCCTCGCCCCTCCCCTGGACCCCTCCATAGAGGGCTTCGCCCAAAACACGACGTCATCACTCGTACCTCGCTCTTTCCGTTACCTGGGGCCGGCACGGAAACAGAAAGAGCGCTGCAGCAGCAACCTGCCCGAGATGGCTCATGGCACCCTTCGCTCGTGGGAGCCGTGGCGTTAAGAACTAGTTACGTCACCGCTCTCTGTTGGCAGCCCTGGTGTTCAGAGACTTTTACGTTGCCGCCAGTTCTTGGGCCTTGGCGTCAAGAGCTTGTTGCGTCACCGCTCGTCCTTGGGAGCCGTGCTGGCAAGCGCGTGTTACGTCGCCACTCTCTGTTGTGAGCCTTGCTGGGAAGAGCTTGTTTCGGCACCGCTCTCTGTTCAGAGTCCTCGTGCCCAGAGATGCTTACGTTGCCGCTCGCTCTTGGGAGCCTTGGTGATAAGAGCTTGTTGCGTCACCGCGCGCTCTTGGGAGCATTGCTGGTAAACGCATGCTACGTCACCGCTCTCAGTCTGCCTCCTCCTCCCTCTTTCTCCTCCTCCTCCTCCTCCTCCTCCTCGTCGTCCTCCTCCTCCTCCTCGTCCTCCTCCTCCTCCTCCAACTCCTCCTGACTCCTCTTGCTCCTCTTCCTCCTCCTCCTCTTCCTACGCCTCCTCCTCCTCTTCCTCCTCCTCCTCCTCCTCACTCGTCCCCGTCCTCCTCCTCCTTTTTCTCCTCCTCTCTCTCCTCCTCCTCTCTCTCCTCCTCCTCCTCCTCCTCCTCCTCCTCCTCCTCCTCCTCCTCCTTTTCCTCCTGACTCCTCCTCCTCCTCGTCTTCCTCCTCCTCCTCTTCCTCCGTCTCCTCCTCCTCCTTATCCTCCTCCTCCTCCTCCTTCTCTTCATCCTCCTCCTTTTCCTCCCTCGCCCTCATCCTGTTCCTCTACCTCCTTTGTTCTACTCATCTTTCTCATCCTCCTCTTTCTCCTCCTCCTCCTCCCCTCCTCCTCCTCCTCCTCCTCCTCCTCCTCGTCCCCCCTCCTCCTCCCCCTCCTCCTACTCTCCTCCTCCTTTGCCTCCTCCTCCTCCTCCTCCTGTTCCTCCTCCTCCTCTCCTCCTCCTCCTCCTTTCCTCGTTCTACCTCCCTTCCTCCGCCTCCTCTTCCTCCTCCTCCTCCTCCTCCTCCTCCTCCTCCTGCCCTCCTCCTCTGTCTCCTCCTCCTCCTCCTCCTCTTTCTCCTCCTCCTCCTCCCCCCTCCTCTCCTCCTCCTCGTCCTCCTCCTCCTCCTTTCCCTCCTCCTCCTACTCCTCCTCCTCCTTTTCCCTCCTCCTCCTCTCTCCTTCTCCTCCTCCTCCTCCTCCTCCTCCTCCTCCTCCTCATCCCTTGGCCTCGCCCTCGTTTCTCCTCCTCCTCCTCCTCCTCCTCCTCCTCCTCCTCCTCACCCTCCTCCTGGGGCCCGCTTGGGAGCCTCTTGGGGCTCTCTTGGGGCCGTCTGGGGGCCCTCTTGGTCTGTCTTCGGGCCCTCTTGGGCCGCCTGGGGGCCTTCTTGGACCGTTTGCGGCCCCTTTGCGGAGCCTCTGGGGCCGTCTTGGGACGATCTGTGGGCCCTCTTGGGCCGTTTTGGGCCCGTCTGGGGGCCCTCTTGCACCGTTTTCGGGCCCTCTTGGGCCGTCTGTGGGCGCTTGGGCCGCTTCACCAGAGAAAATGCAAAGAAATGGGCCATGGGAGCCGCCCAGGAGCAGCTTCACTGGAAAAAATAAGAGGAAAGCTGGCCATTAGACTTGTCGACCAGGCCTCGCCCCCCCTCTGCACTCCCCCTAAGGGCTTCGCCCCTGCTCAACGTCACTCGCTCGTACCTCGCTCTTTCCGTCACCTGCCTGGCACTGGAACGGAAAGCGCTCGTTCTCTGCGAGGGCGCGAGATCGCTTGCTCAGTGTCTTGGAGCCCACTTGGTGTTGAGACTTTGGCACATTCAGGACATGTTGGAGGCCATCTTGACGCCATCCTGGGCCATCTTAGAGCCTTTTTGGGCCGCTTTGAGGAACCGTGAGTTCGTCGAGGGCAAACTGACGAGGAGATGGTAGGGAAAGGGAAGAGGGAGGGAGAGAAGAGGCAGGAAGGTGGAAGAGGAAGTGGATATGCGGATAGATGGGGAGAGCGAAGCAGGGAGATGACAGAGAGGGGGTCAGGAGGAAGGGGGGCACGGATAAAGGGTGGGATGGAGGAATGAAGAACGTTGGAGGAGGTATGGGGGTGGAGAGAGGGAGGAAGGGGATGAAAGATAGGTTGGTTGGTTGGTCGGACCCTTCCGGATCTTGTGTGAGGCCGCGGGCACGGCCTCTTTAGCGAGACTACCGGACAGAGGACGCTCCCGAAACCCTAACCTGTCCCAGCCACAGCCCCCGCAGGAGGACCAGACAGGGGAGGAAGGGCTCAAGAGGGCCCCGAAGACGGATAGCCACGCGGCGACCCTAGAGAGATCGCCTCCACGCGAGCCCTCGGGTCGGCCGCCGAAGAACGTCGATCCTGGTCGGCCCCTGGAGGCCCAAGGGACACGACACGACACGATCCTCTCCGCCCTCCTCCTCCTCCTCCTCCTCCTCCTCCTCCTCCTCCTCCTCCTCCTCGGCCCCAGCCCACCCCACACGGCACCGAGGGACACACCAGCCAGATCCGCCTCGGGGTCATGGCGCGCACCGGCGGCCTCCCAGGGCCACCGCGGGCGCTATCGCAGCTAGGAACGCGGTCAGGGTGGGAGGGCACATAGCGGGAGCCCGCAGTGCTCGGCGCAGGGGGCCCCCCTACTCCAGATTTCGTAATAAAAGGGAGGGGGTCACAACCCTCCCAGACGAGAAGTTTTAGACCCCCCAGACTATCCATCAAAGGGCGGCCCTTTGCCCAGACCCCCCCGAACCCTCCAAGACAGCTCAAATTAGACCCCCTCCGAATGTGACCCCCCCCCCATTTTATTACGAAATCTGGAGTACCCAGTCCTGGTTCGCCGCGTGGCGAAGCAGGACATGGGTGCGGGCCTGTGCGAGGAACCAGGATCGGGGCCGGCATGGGTGCCAGCCTGTGCGAGGAACCAAAAACAGGGCCCTCCCGACGGTGGCCAGGGAGAGGGATCCCAGCCCAGCCTCGCCCACAACGACCCAGCCCACCCAACCCACTCTGCAGTTGGGGCCCTCTTGGGCCGCCTTTGGGCGCCTCTTGGGCCGTTTTGGGCTCCTCTGGGGCCGTCTTCGGGCCCTCTTGGACCGTTTTCGGGCCCCTTTAGCGGCCTCTCGGGCCGTCTTGGGATGATCTTTGGAATCTCTTGGGCCGTTTTGGGCCGTTCTTGGCCCGAAAAGGCGAGAACCAGAAAAACCTTCAAAATCAAATGAACAATCAATGATCTGTGCCTGTCGGAGCCCTCTTGGGAAGCCTCTTGGAGCCCTCTTGGGCCGTCTCGGACCCCTCTTGGACGGTCTGGAGGCAATCTGAGGCCATCCTTGGAACGCTCTGAGACGGTCTTGGGGTCTCCTAGAGCGCTCTTGTGCCCTCTTGAAGCCCTCTTGGGCTCGTCTTGCGCCCCTCTTGGGCCGCCTTGGGCGCTTCTTGGGCCGTCTAGGGTGCCTCTTGGGCCGTCTCGTGGGGGGGACCTGGCCATTGGACCTGAGTGTGCAATTTCCCTGTTAACGGTCCGTTGACAAGGAAAAACGCGTCCGACACCCGATTTCAC